ACTTAGTTTCGAAACTGGACACAATACATGACAGTTAACGACCGAAGCCGGTTTTACTTTGATGACCGCGAAGGCCGCCACTATGGACATTATCACTCATGACTCGACGAATAACTTTCCTCTAAAGCTGACCGATGTAACCATACTAAAGGAAATTGCTCATAATACGGCATCAGCACTTGTACTCGACGATTTCCCAAATCCGGTCTCTGCAGAAACTCATGAAAGCCCCGAAATTCATTTTGTAATGGCAGGAAGTATGACGCTGGTTGAAGAAAGCGACAGGTTCCGTTAAATTACAGAAAACTGACAAGGCTGCTGAACGAAATATAAAATCCGAGTTGAGATTTACACATTTCAAGAGATAACAATTTGTAGCGCCTTGAGAACGCAAATCAGAAACACGCAATGTGGGCAGCGAATGAAGATACCTAGGAGCAGTTTTCTTGTATCTGGCTATGTCACGGAATATATAACAAGGTCGCGCGTCTTCTAGCTACTACAGCGATCGTATTGCGTTAACCGAAACATGGCGGGTCAGTGAAACATGCTACTCAAGCAAATTACCAGCCCTGAATCAGAAAGCAATAGAGAGCTGTGAACAAAGCGCAACGTGCTGGCTGCTTGGCCAGGTAATTCGACCAAATGCATTTTAGGGAACTTCGAAGAACATTCTTTCAACTACTGGCAATTTTTCGTAATGCTGACAAGATTGCTCACGCAAGTCTTCTGTTGGGCGTCCTTTACTCCGCACGCCTTCTCTCCGCACGATATTTCACAGGTCCACGTTCAAAAGCTAACCGGAGCACTGTGTTCCGCATCTACTGCAATTTACGAAACGATGGGTACGGATGCTAACCGCTTCCGCCTTCTGGTCAGCACTTCACTCACTTTTCCTACCACATGTTAACGTCATGCTCGCACTGTACCGCACAGAAAGAGGCGATGACATTTCACTAACATGTTTGTTCCCTCTTTTATTGAACTTAACATCAACACTTCGTAGTCTAACGGGTTTGCCGACTTTAAATCTGCAGTAGGCAGTTCGACCCGCGTTTAAGACTTTAATTTCGCTGTCCGTCTGTACTGAATTTAGCACCGGAAGCGTCATCAATGTTGTTCGCATAGGTATTACTAATGTCCCTTCAACATGCTGTATCGATGGTACCGGCTGTTTCAATAAATTTCACTAGCTAATAAAGCAACGGAACGCGTGACAGATCCAAAATCATCCACTCTTGTCCCCTTTTCTAGTTGCTGCAGCCGTGAAGGATTGTTATGAACTCTGAAACAGATAGCACATTAGGTTTTATTGCGATACTCAGTTAATCAAGGTGCGGATTTGCGAAACAAATCATGGACAAGAGTAACACGAGGAACAAGTCAGTGTCAAACTTTCAACTATATAAAATCAGTATGGCTGGCAGCACGCTGTACGAGTTGAATAGGAGCCAGATACTGTCGCTCATCGAAATAGCAAAGAGGGCGAGCTAACGAAAGCTACCCGGCCCTGAATAAAGGATAACCTTACGTATTACGATCCCATCCACTACCGCAATGGAAGCAATTTGTTACACCTTTCTTTCATTAAGTGCACGGCGCAGCAATGATCTACACTTTTATGCCGTTAGCCAAAAGTGATTTAGTATTCACAGATTACAGCCATAAAGCAGATATTATACTACACAGGCAGGCGTTCGATTCCCACAAGGTCGTCCTAATTCATATAACATGAAAGGATGAAAATGAATGCTTCGGTACGATTCTAGCGCACTTCCTTTCGATATTTCTATTTTTAATTTTATGCACTACTGGAGGAAAAGGTCTCGAAGACGTTCAGCGGGGTATCCGATCTTCACATCAGTCTCTGCAATGAACATGACATAAAACGATCTCTCTCATCCACAGGATAGACGCCATACACATCATGCAAGCCTTCCACGTCTTATAACATAAATAAATGTAGATAGTAACGCACCAATCTTTCATTCGATCGCGAATCTTAGCGCTTAACTCGTTCAGTCACCGGATTTTACGGCGTATTGCTCCGCCCACAGGTTATGGATGCCTATGATGTTATTCAAGATCATACCTTCAAAGTACTAGGAATATCTACAGACACATCGCGTCATTTTATTCGCTACAGCTACATTTTGCTCTTCGCGGAACGGTGATCCGCAATGCGAGACTCCACA